AATAACATATTACAAATTTTGTTAAATTCCTTCTAATTGTGTCAAATCACATGCTAAAAAATCTAACGTAATTGAAAGGAATTTGATATAATTTGTTATGTTTCTTTGAATTTTTTAAGATTTAAAATTATATGATAAAATTCACAAAAATAAATTACTGCGGGAACTAAAATGATAAAACGGACAAACCATAGACACTAAAGTGACTTCACCTATATATGTAGAATACAGCATTGGAGATAGAATTTGGGAACGAATGGAGAGAGGGAGAGTGGAGTAGTAATGATTGAGAGAGAGAGAGAGAGAGAGAGAGTTATGCATGCAAGCAAGGACAAAGAGGCAAAGAGCATTGCATAGGCATTAGGGTTTAGGAGGAGGAGGCAATTAAGCTGAGAATTCAGAGAGGGTGAGAATAAAAACGCACGCCAGTTGGAAAGGAAGGGGGGCTGGCAGAGACAGAGAGAGCACGTCCCCGACAAGGGACAGGGGGCCATCCCAAAGCGCAATGCATTTGTCTGCTGCTGCTGCCAATTGCAAAAGGCCTTTGAATATGCAGAAGAGTAACCACAGTCCCCACTTTCTCCACCATCCAACCAAGCCCCCCCCCCCCTTGTATCTATCACTACATGCAAATAACTATCATCATCATTGTCGCTTTTTTGTCATGCCAAAAAATTAAAATTATATTCAAACAAAAGAGAAATCTTGATGCTTTTTGTCAGCCTCCTTTTTGCACGCTTCACTGCCTCTATCTATCTATCCCTCCCATTTTGATATAAGTCGGTCAAGATTTATGTTTTACCAAATAAACTTCTCATTTAGTTGTTAAATCTAAACCAGTTTAACAACTTTATACACGTCATAATGACATAGAAAGGAGAAAAATAGACTAGAGGAAGAGGGAGTTACAAGAAAATTGTGTAGAAAATTGATAAAAACATTGATGTAGGTAGTAATTCTTTACAAAACTTCGCATAATATTTTATCGCATAGAAGGTACATAAACAACATCTATCAAATCTAAGTCAAAACTAAAATTTTAAGGCGAGACTAATGAACGAATCCTTTTGATTTGACACTTAAGCTCGCTTTCCCTTCTCATTCTTTTGCCTCTGTTCTTCTAGAACACACACGTAAATAAGCTCATTCACTGTCCACATCTCCTTCATAATGCTGTATACTCTTACCAATTGCCCATAAGAGCTTGGAAGAGAGTTTACGGCAATATGCACCAAGAAGGTCTCATCTATGGGGACCTTGAGCGCTTTCAGCTTATTTGCAATGCCAGCCAATCCCATAATATACTCTCTTACAGACCCAACACCATCAAACTTAGCAGAAGTGAGAGCAGTGATCAATTTTCCAACTTGTGCCTTATCTTCTGGCTTATACTTCCGAACTATAGTTGCCAAAAACTCTTTTGCATTCTCCGAAGCAGGTATTTCCTCAAGCACAGAAGCAGAAATTGTCTTCTCCATAACAAGGAGAGACATTCGATTCGATGTTTCCCAATTCTTGAACTTCAATTTCTGTTCAGATGTACTGGAAGCAGTGAGAGCTGCAGGCTTGTCTTCAATCAAAGCCAAATCCAAATCCATAAGGCCTAAAACTACCTCTATGTCTAGTTTCCACTTATCATAATTTGGTCCATTCAAAGTTTCTATTGAACTCAAATCTGGACCAGTATAAACTGTACAAAATAAAAAATAAAAATAAATAAAAATAAAAAAGGCTAACACCATGATCATGTGCCACAATAAATTACTCAAACTAAGGCTAACACTTTTGAGCAGAGAGACTTAACTCGACATTAATTATTATATATGCAATTCTATGCACTAATTTACAGTTTTCAAATTAGGGTTTATAATTCTTTATAACAATTGAAATAATCATGCTTAACAATTTCAAGACACAATAGTAATAATATCATACCACTGAAAACCCTAATTTATATATTATCGCCATCATGAAAATATATATTTAATTTTCTGAATCATACATATACATATACACACATAATGGGTCACGGCAATTCATAAGCGAAGTTCAGAAAATTAATACCAAAATTGATACGAAATCCTAAAGACATGTCATAGTTTATAGTTTATCAAGTATATATATTATCGTATGCTCTGATACCACATGTAACAACATAAATAACTAAAAAGACTAACCTGAAGCCATGAATTCTCCGGAATCGGACCTTGTAAGGCTACAATGGGAATAGCATAAACCACAACTAGCGAGGAGACCTTTGCTTTTATATATATGTCATGCCTATAGTTTCCTACCCATACAAGATAACTTAAATCTTGTACATCACGATTAGATTCAACTAGAATAATAGGAGTCCCATTGCAATTATATTCAACGGGTTCACTCTTATCCTTTCATATTAATGAACCATATAGTTTTGAATCCGCAAATAATGGTTTCTGCCCAATAACCCTTTTTAGTACTTTCGTAGAAATGGCATTGTGATTTTTCTTTTTAATGGATTGTTGTGCCCAACCCAAGTCTTGTACATAGGCACAGATTGTCAATGGTTACGATGGACCGCAGTACGCCACAACCTCACACTGCCACAGTTTAGACAAAGATTTTGTGACTATGGCAAATAGTGAAGTGTAGCCACTGTGGGAACAAGGAATTTTCGGCAATCACTTGGGTGACGCGACGTGGAAATTGGAATATACCCTAGGTCATTTTGATTATTGACCTATTATTTTGATTTAAAATGGGAAATATCTTCATAAGTCAAGGATTCAGATTGCATTAAATCTCCTTGATCTTTTTATTTATGAAAATAAATGATTCCCTTAAAAAAAGATTTATTCTCCCATAAATCATTCCAAATATGGCACAAGATGATGAGGCTATATAAAGATAAGTTTATATCACAAAGAGCCCTAGAGAACTCTCTCTCTCTCTCTTTTTGGTTCTCACGCCACTTCTCCTCTCTCCCTACGAGAAAACTCATTTCCTTCAAAAATATATGCATCTCTCTGAGACCGTATTCTAACTTAGACATCGGAGGGCTCTTGGCTAACACGTCACCAATGTTCTCCGATTGACCATTCTTATTTTGCAAGAAATCTTGGAAAAGCGAATAGGTGTGAGGATCTTCTCGAATCTACCCAAGAGGAAAATTGCATCAATAACCGCTATTGTTTCGTAAAAAACAATCAAAACCTTGATTATACTCAATAATAATTGATAATTATGAGTAAATCTCTTTTTTGTATATTCAATAATAATTGATAATTATGAGTAAATCTCTCTTTTTTGTATATTTAGTGCGAGCCCCATCACTATGATGAACTCGATGGATAACAAGAAAGCAAAGTAAATTGAAAAAAGCAATGGAACTCGATTTCGAGAAAGGAATTTAGTCATTGTTTCAACAATCTTTAGTTGGGATGAACGTCAATTGGAGATCATACCAGCAAGAATTGAAATCTCTCAGGAATCTCTGCGGAGATTGAAATATGTATAGAATATGTGAACTACTTTTGGTTGAAGTCTGTTGTGTTGAAGGAATTGGAGAGTCTTTGTTGATGCCTTAAACGTTATATTTGTAGGTGTCTTAACCTATCTAACTTGGACTTCAAGGTAACCCTATAATGTGATGACACCTGGATACAATAGCTCTGAGAGATCCATTGTTCGATCACACAAGATTTTGTGAAGTGTACCCGCTATTGTTTGGTCAAACACAATCAAGCCTTGATTAGACTCAATAATAATTTCTAATGATGAGTAAATCTCTTTTTAAAATATTTTGTGCGAGCACTATGATGAACTCAATGGATAACAAGAAAGAAAAGTAAATTGAAAAAAAAAAAAAAAAAAGAAAGAAGAAGCAATTGAACTCGATTTCGAGGGAGGAATATAGGACTCATTGTCGCCACAATCTTTAGTTGGGATGAACGTCAACTGGAGATCATACCAGCAACAAGGCGTGACAGAGAAATCTTCGAGGGTAACTTCGGATTTGGATGACATTCGGAAGAATTGAAATCGCTCAGGAATCTTTGAAATATGTTTACAGTATATGAAGTCATTTGGGTTGAAGTCTTGTTTGATGGCTTAAACGTTATATTTATAGGTGTCTTAACCTATCTAACTTGGACTTCAAGCTAACCCTAATCGTGCTTTAAAATGTAGATGAACGCGTCCGCCAAAAACGACTCAGAGAAGTGCAAATTTTGGTACAAACAAGTAGTTAGATATCGACATTGTTGTCTAGTGTGTGCAAAAGGAATTAATCTGTGGCCTTCTTTAGCCCTTTTTCTAGTAGTGGGTTTTGGGTTCACATGAGGACAAAAATAGTGGAATCTACCTAATAGCAAGTACATTCTGTTTTAATTATCTTCTGAATAAAATAATAAAGAAAAAATAGTTAGTGTGAATTAATTCAAGGGTAATGTTAGGGTTACTACATTTTTATACCATATTGTGTACCACATCTCTGATAGAGATTGAGCCCACCGATACAATGGGAGCCCGTCTCTATTTGAAAGATAGTACACAATGTGGTAAGCCTAGTATTTTCTTTAATTCTAAGACTAAAACTAAGGCAGGGATCCGCCTTGATACGTGTGAGAATGTTTTCTCTTTTCTGAAGTCTGGAATTTCTATTTTTTTTTTGTTTCAGGCTGTGCTGGAAATGGAAGCACAGCGCTCGGTTTCTTGGGCTTAAAAACCATGTCCTTTACTGTCTCCTTCTCCCTGTCTCAGCTGCTCACCACATATATCAACACTAAAGCAAGCATCATATCTCATCTCAAATCTAAGAATTTCATAACTTTCCTCTTTCATGCTTTCTTGAGAATCAGTGTAATATATATATATATATATATATATATATATATATATACAGAACTTGAGAGCTCAGAGCAGCTAGCTCAGCCTCTGAGAAACTTTCACAGATGCATGAAAAATAGGAAACTCATAGAAGCGTACTTCACGTGCAGTAGAATCTATGATCCTCTACTTCATAAAATCATTCATCAAAATGGTCTCTTTTTAGATCACATGCATGCGAATTGCAACAAGCTTGCTCTGAGTCTGAGATTGAAAGCCCTAAAAAACAACTCCATATATAAATTAAAAACAAACCCACACAATTAATTTCAAACAAAATTACATATATGAGAAAATATATAGAATGAAAGACGAACTTGAAAATAGTTATGATCACCATTTTAGCAGTATGTACTAGTACTAATTAAAGGACTAATGTGCGGTCTAATACGCGTCGCCTTTTCGATCTTTCACTAGCATTTGAGCGTTCTAGTAAAGACTTCAACGCATTCTGCAAGAAATGGACTGATTCAATGGTGTGATCTTTATCCGCAGCAACGACAAGCACGTTGCGAATTCTTCCTCCGAGGGTGGCCATTTCAGCTCTGAGTGTCTTCAGATGGAGGGATTTTAGAATTTCAATTAGGTCAGGTAGGAGGTCGGTCCGGTCCTCGCAGCACAAAGAGGCCTTGAAAATAATTCTTCCATCACTTGAATAATCATCCGAAGAGAGCACAGTGATTTCATCAGTCTCAGAAGGGAAGCTCTCAAGCTCAGTGAGCTCTGAAGTTTGTTGTTTCAGCTCTTTCACTCGTTGAACCACCTTTGCTAACAGAGAGGCTTTGTCTGTCTGATATTTTTGTTTAAAAAAAATAAATAAATTAGAATTAGAATAAAGATAATAATAAGAAACCCTAATTGTAAAAAGCTCAGCAACTTTCCCAAATACAGTATATGTACACTTAAGACCAGTCTGAGTACTACAATTCCATTGATCCCTTTTTCTTTTTCAGATAGTACTTAGAGTTTGAACATTCAAAAGCTTCAAAAGAACCTAAGCTTTGTATAGATCCAAGATCTTTGAATTTCACTTGTAAAAGCAGTTCACTAGAAGAAACCTTTTTTCTGAATTTAATTAATTCAGAATGAATTAGTGAAAACACTTGATCCTTACACTATTACCAAAAAAATAATTTAAGTACTGATTCTAATTAGTAAAACTTGTAATTTAGCACAAGTCAATGAACATAAAATCTTTGATTCCTTGGTCAAAAGTGAGATAAAGTCTAGGATTCCAATTCCAGCAGTACTTGCCAACTTTTTCTTTTCTCACCAACCAAACATCAGTCAACAAAGAGAAAAATGAATGTGGATGAAGTGAGAAACGATCTAAGACAAAGCAAAACAAATTTTTAAGAGCAAAGTTCAAACTTTCAAACACAAACCCAAAAACAAACTTCAAAATTAACCTTGCAAAAAACAAATATATATGATTAATGAACTGAGGGTACCTTGGAATTGCAAGGAAGAAGGCCTCGAAGCTTATCGAGATGGGAGTTGATTCTCTCTCTCCTTCTCTTCTCAGCCTCCTTGTGATTCTTGAGAGCAGCAAGGGCTCTATCTTGAGGTGAGGTTTCATGTTCAGTGCTAACTCCAGAGACTTCCAGAGGGTAATAATTGTAAGAAGAAGAGCTGCAAAAGCTTTGCATAGCTGAAAACTGATCACAGCTAGCTCCTCCTGGGAACCCAACATATGAACCATTATTGTTGTTCACGTTAATTAACCCGTTTTGGGCCAAAAAACGATAGAGCTCTTGGTTTTGATGATCGGCTGGCTGCATATCTTGTTCTTGTCTGAGTCAAGTTTTTTTTTTTCCTCACTGAATACTGTTCTTGTTTTCTGATTTGCTTTTTGACCGACCAACTGAGAGAGATGAGTGAGATACATATATATATATATATATATATATTGTGTGTGTGAGTGTGTGTGTGTGTGTGTACTGAAATGAAATGAAATGAAAGTGTTGGAGACTTTCGGTGGTTTAGTCTTTTGTCTTTAGGGTTTTATATATATCCGTGAATTTTGGGGTCCAAATGGGTTTTATATTTTTATTTATTTATATTGGGGAAAAGGGAGGGATGACAAAAAGTGGAATTCTTATATGATGATGTGAGTATGACGATAAAATGCTCTGCAATTTTCAGTTCCATTTGTTTTTTTGTACGGTATTTTCTAGGGCCACTAAAACTCTTCATAGCATGTCTCCAAAAAAAGGTATAAGATAATGGGATGACATTTCCTACAAGTAAGATCTCTTGAGATTTTTAGTGTTTTCCAAAAAACTATTTGAGGTTTTAAAATTACATGAATACCCTTTGAGGTTTCAAATTGTTTTTACAAAACTCATTTTCATTGATTGTTCATTAAAAAACAAAGAAATTACATGAAGACCCTCTTAAGGTTTTCGGCTTTCCTTGAGGTTTCAGAAATTACACGTACACTCATGAGGTTTTAAATCGTTTTTGCAAAACCCATTTTCATTGATTTTTCGTCCAAAGCTTGATGTGTTTATATAATAAAAACTTAAGCAAATAACAAACCTCAATGAATGTATGTGTAATTTAATCTCAATGGCTAACTTTATCATTTGAAATCATCAATTTTTGAATGAAAAATCAATGAAAATGGGTTTTATGAGTTCGGAAGTCCGAACTTTGTTACCGTGGGAACGTTATTGAATTGCTACTACCCCTCCATACTTTTCTCATTGTTTACAATAGCGTCTGCACAATAATAACGTACATACATCTGCATAAGAAAAGAACTGAATATTATATATCACATGCATTTAGGCTTTTGTCAAGTACCACCTAAACAAAAAAAAATTATAATTAGCCACCTTGGCTTTGCTCCATGTAGCAATAATGTGGCAAATGCCATCAAAAATTGTGTTAACTAATGATATAGAATATAACGTGGGTCATGCATTTTTTGTGGACGTGGAAGCCATGTAAGCAATGTGTGGACTAAATGTTATTTTTTTGTTTAAATTTTTTTTAATAATAACAAAGGGCTTGTAACTTAAATATTTGAGAGCATGTACCGCAAACACTCACATACATAACTTGAACAATAATCACATTTGCGGCCATATTTTAGCATCTCTAGCATAAGCATATTTCAAGTATCCTGCCATATTTTTCTGGATGGGATTATTAAAGTACTCCTAGGATTGGGATTATTATAGTTACTCTTTCTTTAACATTTTGTTTTTAATCAATGATCCAAATAGGAAATGGAGAAATTTCATGAACACCTCCTGAGATTTTTGGCTTTTTCATAAAACTCCTTGAGGTTTTAAATTGTTCTCACAAAACTCATTTTCATTAATTTTTCGTCCAAAGCTTGATGATTTCATACAATAAAAATTATGCAAATAACAAATAATAAATGTATGTGCACTCTAATCTCAAATGCTAACTTTATCATGTGAAGAAATATTTTATATAAAAATCATCAATTTTTGAACGAAAAGTGGTTTTGTGAAAACAACCTAAAACCTCAATGGGTGTTTCTGTAATTTCTGAAATCTCAGGGGTATTTAAAAAGAATAATAAAAACCTTAGCGAGTGTTAACATAAGTAACTTTTTTATTTATTTTATTCAAGATGAAGTTTCTCAGTTTCAATGTGTTACATGACCCGCCTACTATTTCCCAATGTGAATATTTTCGTTTCAAATTAAACATGGTACGAAAGAAAAGAGGGCTGGGGGGGCAAAAGTCAAGCCATTTTTGTTGTTGGTTTACTCTTTTCCAAACAAAAGTTGCACATTTTCCAGTTTGGAATTCAAATCAGAATCTATTTGTCGAGTGTAAATTCCTGGACGTTTAATTCTTGTTGATAGTTTGACATGTTTTTGTAAGCATTATATTTACTTTTGTAATGGACCACAAAAACAAAAACAAAAAACAAGCAGCATTTGTCTTGGGTAAGGTCACTTGACGACAGCCCGCTAGTACATTTTGGAATATATTATAGCTTTCATTGAGGATTCTTCAAATTAACTTATTTGTGGGACATTTTTATAGGGCTTATTCCGCATTGTATTTCATTAATCCAAACCGTCTATGTTTTAGATAATCATTCAAAGATCATCTCTACCAAAAAAAAAAAAATTAATGGAATCCGATATTATTTGAACACTCAATTGTATTATTGAAATTTTAGTACTTTCTTGAAGCACCGTGTTCATTGATTTTGTATGATATAATTGGATGTCGAAATGGTTTCTGATTTATTTAATTTTTTGTAAGAATGATCTATGAATGTAGACTTAAAAAATATATGGTTTAGATCGTTGGAAAAAAAAAATTTGTAGAGTACTCTAAAGGGCGTCCTTCAAATAAATTATTTGAGGGATCCCTTAATAGAAGGGGACTATATATATCATGTCTGACACTTTACAAATCAATCATGTAGACATGTTGACGGTGTCACTAAGAAATAAGTAAGCATAGAAAATGAATATGGAAACAATTTAGTCGGGGAAAAAAAACAGTTAATTTCTTTCATGTCAAAACATAGCAATATATGTTATTGCTGGTCTAATAGTGGAAGGATGTTACTTGAGTTTGAGAAAGTGTTGATAATGTGGAAAATATTTGGCATGAGAAACTTGTGGCATGGGAGCTAAGGACCCACAAGTTTAGATCGAATCTTAGACCAAACATCAATCTTTGTCTTAAGCAAAGGGGGAGCTTCTATAATGAGAGGCTATGTTGAGGGGTTACAATGAGGGAGTTCAATTCTACAGTTCAATAATAACTATGCACTAAATCGAACGACTATTAAGAACCCTCTCATTATAATCCCTCACGATGACCCCTCATTCTAGCCTCCATATAAGCGAAGATGCTTGCCGTTTGGATCTGTTTTATATGGATGGGCCATGAAGTATTGTTCGCGGGCTCTAAATTTCAGTAGTCCTCTCTTCTTAATTTTGGGTGGTCTCTTTTTGTTTAGGACTTTTTTATTTGGGCTATATAATAAGTTGTAGGGTATCTGATACATTTTGGGCCTCAAGTAAGAAAAGCTACTTAAAATTAGTTTGAGCCCGCACTGGATGCATCAAGTACCTACATACCCCACCATTCTGCTTTTGTTTGTTTGGTTTCCCTTTTCCTTTTTAATTTCTTTTTATACAAACGATATTGGGAAAAAAGATTACAGACACACAATGTCAAGGTGCCATGATGATTAAAATCTGAAATCACACGTCTGCAAGTTAGAGCTCTTTCCACTCGGCTAGACACGTTGGCTTTTGTCTTTTGATTTTATTAAGTGAAAAACAGGCTTTTTTGTCGCCACTAACACCAAACTCTCACATAACCCATGTATTCACAAACATTCTCTTCTTATAAAACTAGTACTCTTCCATGTGACTTTACAACTAATAACATATGCATTTGTATTTATATAATATATGGGGCATAAAACAAAGAAAAGTTTGAATGGGGCAATGTGACCCAAGTGGCACACGTGCTGCACATTCCTTGAAAGATGATTAAAAATACAAGGTGGCTGCTGGGTTTCATCATTATATTCTGTAGAATCATCTCATGCTCTGCATACAACTTTCCTGGTTCAATTAGGTTTTCCATGAAAAAGGAAGAGAAAAGGTGGAAGCACTACTTAAGAAAAAAAAAGTTTAAGCAAACCAGACAGTCACTTTGATTGAGATTGCTGTCACTCGCACATTTGAATACTTAATACCATTTTCTTTAATTATCACCATCATTGACTACTCTCTCTCTCTCTCTCTCTCTCTCAAGGAAGGACGCAAACTACATATTTTATAGCAGCCCCATAAATCTAGCTTGCTTTAACTGAAGATGCGGCTTTTGATGAATTGAAATGATGAAGGATGATTATGATGGCTGTGTGTGTCATGAGACGAGAAGATGTACATTTTGACAAGTAGTCTATATCCTCAAGATTTGCTCTCCAGCTCTCTTCTCTCTTTATGGGATTAGATGGTGCGGTGGCATGGAGGAGGGAAGAACTCATTAACTTCATTCCTATTGCAAAAGAATTTTGTTAGGCTTCAATCAGATTGGAAAGTGAAAATAGAAGAAACTCGAAACTTTTAGGTTAAGACTTGAAACTTTAGTTCAGTTGGAATAGAATATTACTCTCGCAGTAGGGCTCCAAAAATTTCTTGTCCTCTTAGGTTTCGTTTGGTTCACGGAACGGATTTAAGAGGAAATCATTTTCCATGTTATTTATTAAGGGATGAGAATGAAAAATTCATTTCCCACGTTTGGTAATGCCGGGAAAGTAACCAGGAGATTTCATTTTATTTCATTTCCTATATTTGTTTTGAGTAGGAATGGAAAACAAAGTTTGTATAATTTTTCAATTATACCCATATTAAATCAAATAAAAAAGAAGTGCATTTAATTATATATTGTAATTCTAAACTATTAATGGGGACAAAATGGTCATGAAAAATATGCATTGAATGTTGGCTCATTTTCCTAAACTTTTCCATAAAGAGGGAAAACAAAACCCAAGTTGGGAGGAGGATTTCATTTTCTCCTCTACTTTCTCATGTGTCATGCAACCATTTCCCATGCATTGACTTACCAAACATGGAAAAGCAATTGATTTCTCATACCCAAGCCTCCTTTCTCATGAACCAAACGGGTTAGAACCCAAAATATAGCAAATCTGGAATATTACTTGTGTTTCAGCTCCTATATAGTTGTGGTCCTCACCCTCACTCGTAGCCATGAATATTTTTGCTTACCAAGCTTTATAACGCACCATTTCCGATCCCTTTCAGAAAAGATTAGACTTGAAGTTAAGCTCTTTTTGACGTTTTGGCCACGAAATATAAGATCTTGTGGTTATCTTAAAAGCTTTAG